TACCGTATCACTTGCCAGGCATGTAGGGGCCAGGGTTGAGCAAGAGGTCAGGCACAAGTCCTTCAAACACGACCCCCCCCCCCTGTGAAAGCCCCTAAACGACCCTCCGCTTCACCTCCAAGTCCTTAGGGTGTTTTATTTTGAAGAAGACCAGCCTTCACTGCAGGTTTTTATTTTTTGAAAGTCTGTAGGCCCGACTTTCTGCGATTGCACAACACACGCAACTTGACAGCAAGTTTTAGATCTGGATAGTCCTCTTTTCAGAGCTATAATTTTCACAGGGGTGGAGTGTTTGGCTTCAAATCTTCAATATAGCAAGAAGAGACTTTGCGCACAATACTCATATCAAAAAAGGGGCGATTTTTGAATGCTGAAGGCAAGTTAAGAGGGTCAGGCGCAACCCCTCAAAAGCTCAGGCGGCCTGACCTTTTGAGGGGTTGCGCCTGACCCCATTAACTTTATTTCCGAAAAAGCTTTTCTATCCAAGTTTTATGTGATTCGCTAGCTCAATCCTCGAAGATTCCACAGTAAGTGTTTCAGTTTGATTCGACTTGTTTCGGCCTTGTGCTAATCCGAGAAGTTGAAGCACTCAACGTGAAAAACGCGCCGGTTGCAATTTTGGCAGCACTTCTTACTTCGCTGTTTGAAAGCGATATGAAGTCGATTTGTAACATAGACTTACAGAGAACGTTACTTTGTTATGAGTATACGAACACTGACTTTTCTCACTTCTAAAACCAAGTTGATCACGTTTGAAAATTACACTTTTTAGGCGTTGAGAAACACTAGAAACTGCAGTAGGTAATGGCTTGTAGAGCGTATAGAGGTAATTTGACATGCTGATTATGGAAATGATACCCATTTCACACAGCAAGCTTCCTTGTTTACCCCATATGTTAAGGTAAATGAGAAGAAGATTTGAATTTTGGCTGAAACAGTCACTGTGGAAACAATCAGTATGCTGTTGCTATGACCATTCTCCTTCATGTGATCGCGCTATCCACAGGACTCTTCTTCATTCTCATGATATCTCCCCAACTTAATAAATTCGATTCTTATTTACGCCCCCCCCCCCCCTCAGTCTTACCCTCAATACGATCCCCCAGGTCGGGCGCGCCTGACTCCACGCTCAACCCTGGTGGGGGCACATATATCGGCGAGACGGGGCGCCCTCTATGTACTCGGATCAAGGAACATCTAGACGGGCTCAAAAAATCCAATACGGCAACTCCACTGGGCATGCACCGCAGGCACTTCCATAATGACGCAGACATAGCTGTAGAGGTCACGATCTTGGCACGCGAATCCGAAATCCTGGCGCGCAAGACATTAGAAGCGTTTTGGATTGCCGCCAAAATTCCAAATTTGAATAGAAAGGATGAGTGCATAGCAATCACTAATGAGTTGGCCGCTTATCAGAGCCTTTGTGGCTTCTGAGGTCAAGTGCTAGGTCACTGGGTACTATAAAAGTTGTTGGAGTTTAGTTACTGGTATACGGTCTGCTGACCAAGCAGTCATCAGCTGTTTAGGTGAGCACTAGTTTAATTCTGCATTTACTTTTGTAGCTCTTGGTTTTCTGACGCATTGGACATCTTTTCTGAGTCTTGATACGGTTTTTGGCAGGATAGATTACCTATGCATTCGACAATTTCAGACTCTGAAGAAGGCGATATTGCCGAAACGTCAGTCAATAAAGAAGTTACTAATCTCGGTGCACAGCTCAAGCAGTCTCAAAAAGGAATATAGAGATCTTGCGAAAACTTGAAACGTCTTTTTATCAGGTCGTCCCATAAGTTCGTAGCGATTTCATTCTCGTCCTAATTTCAAAGCGATTGACTTGCGGCAAGCTGCGCACATCATTGAAAAGAGCTAATCATACTCTCTATAATGAACGTATAGGTTTCTATGAAAAGCTAAACCACTCCGATTTTTTAGCTTATAAATGCGGAGTTTTCAAAAGGCAAAAAGCATTTTCGAAACCTGCCCGCTTTTTCTTAAAAAGTGTTTTTGCATGGTTTTTTGCCTTTTTGAATAAAAATGGCCCTTTCCCGTCAGTATGAGACAGAAAAGATTTGCTTCGAAGAAATCAAGAGTCTATCGGCTAAACAAGCCTTTTTGTGGAACGGACAAAAGGTTTTGCACTGAAAGTCGTTAGACAGAAACAAACAGTCTATCATAATGTACTGCAACCATTTGCATCCTCTGAACGAACAAATATTGCAAAAATGTCTCATAAGATAGGTCCAGTGAGTTTTTTCGCATGACAAAATATGGCTCCGTACGGCAGACGTCGTCAAAACTGTTGTGCAAGACATGACTGGGAGACGAATTTGCACTCGATGTACTCCTCAGCCTCGCCCTATCAGATAATCACTTGTCCCACTCTCCTGCAAACCATATGACCAATGCTTGTTCCGATTCTGAACACGATCTTAAGCACTGATAAGACGACTTTTTTTAGGACCCGAGTGCTGAGTTTTGGAAGAACGAAAATGAAAATTTTACGGCAAGGTGGAAGGTTGTGCGCAACAACGGAATGCACACCACCGACCAAATTTTGACAAAATTTTGCCATTTCGATGGTTTCTGAAAACGCTACGAACTTATGGAACGACCTAGTACATGCTCTTCCTCCCTTTTTTCAAGGAAATCGGTTAATAGTCTCAGACAAATCACGGGAACTTCCCGAAAGGCAAGCCAATTTGCCAAACTTTCCGAGGGTTTCATTTAGCACGTAAGTGAATGGAGCCGTGAAAATGGGAAATTCCCGAAAACTTTCACGTCATAACCAACACAATTAGGAACTTCCCGAGGAAGTCCTCGGAAAGTTCTGCAAAATGCAGAACCTCCCGAGGATTTGAGAGAACTTCCGCAGAGCTGCTTTGCATGTTTTGCAAACAACACTACCTGAAAGCATCATAATGATGAGTTTAAAGTTTGATCTGAAGCTTAGGTGCTTCATTTCTATCCATCGCCGTTTAGAGGATAGGTAACCATTTTAGTATTGATTCTATCCACCTATCGATGTCTCAGTTCGCTAATAAGCTTTCTGGGAAACGCTCATTGATCAGCTTACTTATAGCACTAATAGCATTATTATGCTTAGCTTATAGCCACAACATAACTCAAACATTAACATAAAAGACCCCAAAAAGTAAATTTTCCATCGGGCTATTTTGACTTCCCAAATCTCAGCCTCGGGTCAAAAATCAGCTAAATATTCTTAAGGCCCAATGACCAAATCCATGAAAATTCCCTCAAGGAAATCCAATAATTTTTGCACTTTGTGCAACGGCGCAGTCCCGTGCGTGCAATCACATAATTACGCAGACAGCATGACCTTCTGGCTATGATATTGCTACAAGTAGTAGCCTATATCCCTAGTAGTGTCCCTCAGATATATGCAACTTTACACATCGCGCCTCCAACGTGTCGCGCAAGCCGGATTTACAAGATCTACCTGAGTCTATTGTAAACGCTTCTAATGGTACAATGCTTATGCAAAAAGTACTCAGGTAAATTAGATTTTTAGAATTTATTTTGATGCGCTTGGTTTCGGCAAGGAGGAGTTGCGGGGATGCAGAGTAGATGCGATAAAAAGTTCGCAGAGTAGGTGCCAGTCGTAGCGACTGGCGATGGCCAGTCGCCAGTGTTGGCGACTACATTTGATACGTATCGATTAGCGACTGGCGATCGCCCGTCGCCATGCTATACTCCTCGAGGAGTATAGCACCTACCTTACCTTACGCATTTACGTATTTTGTCCAGAAATACAAAACGACGCAGGTCGGCTTCGGTAGAGAAGACAAGGCACACATGACGAAATCGGAATGGAGGAGACAAGCGCTGCACATAAAGGAGATTTGATCTTGAAGTCTCACGCGTCCATCCCATGATTATCATTATTTTTGATGCCATATCACATGATGCCTGTTCTCATCCTCACTACGCTTGCGCTCGCTTACTGTCAGTACTTCATATCTAAGTATGGTACTCCATCCGCATCATTCAGGCACTTTGTAATTTGATGTTGGAAACCTGCCAAAAAAATTTTCTCAGTGCCCTTCGCTAATATACTCTAAATGTGCTCTAACAATGAATGATGAAAAAATATCTGTTTTGCGTACTTTTAACCTGAGTAGCTGAAGTGGGTGTACGGCTCGAAATAAGCAGGGTTTACTGTTAAAGGTTTTGTATAGCTACGCAAAGGTCCATCTGAAGCCCTCGGGGAACTTCTAATGAAGTCCTCGGAAAATTTCCATTTTTGGGGAAGTTCCCGAGGGCTTATAGGCAGAAGTTCCCGAGGGCTTTACGGGAAGTTTCCGAGGTGACCTGCGGAAAGTTCCCCCACAGCCCTCAGAAACTCTCCGTAAATTGTCTGAGGTGGTGGCAAAGTAAGATATTATTGACTTTATTGCATGAAACGGTGAATCTAGCTATCTTTAAAGCTTCCTCGATGAGGAGTTATGGGCGTTTATTGGTGCATTTAATTGAACAGCCATAACAATTTTTTCTAGCTATTGAGTACAACAGTGAGCTCTTCAGGCAGCAAAAACTTCTAAACAACTTACATACACCTGCTTTAATGGCTAGAAATATTAGATTTTATCTTAGCAGCGCATCCACGTCTTGCTCCGAACGCTCATAAGTCTTCGTCCAGAGATGCTTCACAGATAAGGAAAACATTTGAAATTAGCGTATCATGCAATCAAAACTTCCGTAGCAGGATGTTGAGCAGCACGACCAAGATGGCAATTTCTCTTTGTTAACTTCGGCCAACGTTTCGGCGCAATCGCCTTCGTCAGAGCCTAGAAAGTCGATTACATAAGGATCTTTTTCCTTAGACGTCAATGAAGAAGCAAGACAATTCAGTTGGAAGCTAGTACGAAGGAAAGAAACAGAGCCATGGTAAAGCAATACTCACCTTAAACGTTGCATAGGGGGGTACGAGGGACCACCAACTATGCAATAACTATACCTCTGCCCTATTTATAGTTACTTTACCGTGGCTCTGTTTCTTTCCTTCGTACTAGCTTCCAACTGAATTGTCTTGCTTCTTCATTGACGTCTGAGGAAAGAGATCTTTATGTATTCGACTTTCTAGGCTTTGACGAAGGCGACTGCGCCGAAACGTTGGCCGAAGCTAATAAAGAGAAATTGCCATCTTGGTCGTGCTGCTCAACATCCTGCTACGGTTCATAACTATGCCAAGATTAAAGAACAGTCGGAGTTGGAAGAACAAAACTTCTCTTTTTGGTAAACCATTTTCGACCTAATCATTTTCTGTCAGCCGGGAAGCACATGACAGACTGCAAAATCGCAAGTGAGTACATTTTGTACTGTAATACGCATTCGGTATACGCTGCGCTATCTGCTACTTTTGTTGAAGAACCTTTGGCATTACCAAAATGGTTTCCGATGCCAATCTTGAATTGCTAGCATAAGCTGCAGCAGTTAGAGAGAGCATGGTGTTACGACCAAGTCGTAATAAAAGTATTAAGAGAACTCTTCTTCGATGTTTTTAGCGGAAACATGACAGTGGCTCGGCAAGACCAAATATCTCGAATTTTTCATGAAAGATTGCTTGCACTCTCAACATGCGAACGGTGCAGGTCCGAGCGCACAGCATGCTAGCTCTGCCTAGAAAATTGGTCCTAAACCCGTGCACACAAGATACTCTTACACGCGCTCGGACGAGCTTGCGATATTTCTCACACCGTCAGAGGCGGCATGCCGCAGTGCTTGAACATGAGAGTCCCACATTGACTCTACTTTTTTAACCGTGGCGGGAGCGTTCCGCTCGTTCAAATTCAAAATAAAGGGCTTTGAGAAAGCTGGTTTTCGCCATTTTCGCGCTCTTCAGTTTGAAGTTTCGGATTCAGCGCGTTGAAGCGAGAAAACTAGGTAAGCGAGAAAACCACAGATCGAGATTTGCCGAGCCACTGCCTTTGATATAGCGTACTTGCACTGCAGGTAAATTGCGTAAAACCTGCGCGTAAACAAGTAGCTATGCACGTGACGGCATTACTCGCTGGCTGTTTGTTCATGCGCAAATTTTACCGCATTTCACTTGCTGTGCAAGCACAATATATCAAGCAGAAAATCTACTCGAATGGTAGCGGAATTCATGATGGAAATAACATGAAAGCAGAGTGGCAGCAAAAGGAGGCCACTTCGTTGAAAACACTCATATATGCGTGACGCACAATGGATACCAAGCTTGCCCCGGTTATTTTGTTATCAGGGATGTAGAGCGATTTGGTTGTCATTCTTATCTTATGCTGTTGTCCTTTCAGTGTTGGACAAGGCCGAGCTACAGTCTCGTTTTTTGATGATATATCTGAAGTTAATCAAAATGCTGAAGGGTGTAAATGAAACAAGTGGATGCAAGGATGTGTATTCTTTTCAAAATTATGTATCAATTGCACTTTTTTTCCATTTCAAGATATTTTTCAGTTGCGACACATCCATGAATTCCCCATTCGCTGATGTACTTTCCATAATAGCACCTATGGACCATCTTACTACCAATTGTTCTCAAGAAGGAATAGCGACCGCTGCAGGAACTATCGTTCTCTGTAATCGGAAGATGTGTTGTTGTTTTCGATAAACAAAAACCATAATTTTGTACCGGTGTTGCACACTTTGAAGCCGTTTCTCATGTTTCGTCCATAATAAACCTGAATAAGTTTGTAAGCAGTAGTGTGGTAGAAGTCACTGTGAAAACAGCTTTTTAGAAAACCTTCCTATTTAATAGCTCAGTTACCGAGGAGCGCCTAAAACATAACAAAGAGCAGCAAACATGAGCGAAAAAAAGAACTTTTTTTACAGCAAATATACTTATTTCATTTCAAATGCGCTTTCTTTCCTAGGCAAGTTTGTTTATTTGCATTTATACAAGCATGCATTTATGCACATGCAAGCAGATTTGCTTGTAAAGGTGCGCGGGGTGGGATGTGTTAAGAATATTTTCAGATTGTATGATCAAATCCGTTGTCTACTTTCACCACAAAGGTTGCAATAATACAGAAGTATTAGGTTGAACCGAAACTTCTGTCGCACCATTTTTCAAAAAATCATTTTTCGGCATTAGATTCCCCTAAAAATACTTCTCTGTAGTTCAATTTGACATTTTTATGTCCACTTGTTTCATCGTTCAGACGCCAAATTAAACGATTATTGCCCGAAAACTCCTACAAATAGAGTGCACCGTAATGGAATGTGTTACAATGCTCACCTCCTTTTTATGGTGGTGGTATCGAAGCTTTCCAAAAAGTGTAGGGAGATTGGGTGGGATATGAGGTACCATATCATTGTCATGGATGACTCGGAATGCATAGTCGATCTGCAAAGGGTAAGCCATTTACAGTATTAGCTTCCCAAATTAGAGCTTGTTTTGAGACTTTATACTAAGAGGGTCTAAGCATGCATAGTTTCGCTTTTGCTTTGCACAGTAAAAGAAATAAAGCCTGTTTGTAAAGACTTTTGAATTTCAAGACGTGTGAGGCTATTTTCCAAACCCCTTCTTTACTTTCTTCTTTCTTTACATGTTCTAAATAGAATATTCATAAGCGCTACAGTCTTGTAAAATTGGTTCCTTCTCTTCATTTCCAAATGACCGCTGATAGAATAATGTGCGGGGACAGATGCTGCTTAAGCTTCAAAACTTTTTGACATACAGATGTGCATGTAGTCGTACACCGTGTTGTCATACCTTATTATTGAGCCTCTCAGCAAATATCCCGTCGCCTGTCCTGGGCTGGCCGAACGTTATTAACTTTGTTTTTGATCTTGGTGCAGTTCCTGTCTCCAGTAAATAAGATGCCGCCAGAGATGCCAATGCACCTCCCAGTGAGTGCCCAGTTATCTGAATTCACATAATAAGGAAAGTTTTCTCCTTAAAGCGCGTACCCAAATGTCATATGTTGGGTATTTACGAATCAGTTCTCGAGCATCTTCATACATACTGCTCCTGGTTAATCTATTCATTCTCGTATGAAAGACGCTGTTGAAAGAATGAAGAAAGTAGGTGTTCACCGACGCACCACCAAACCATTCTTTCTAAAAAAACCTTTTTTCTCTCACACAAGCATTTTGTTATATGCTTGACTTACACTTAAGAGGGGATGAAAAAGCTGCTTTGAAAGCTGCCAACCATCTTCTGTTCCTCTGTAAAAAATGGAAAAATGGTCATATTATTTAAGTGGATTTGATGTTAGATACTATCGTCATGTATTTAGGAGATAGAGACCAGAGGTACTTTCGAATCAAGGTAAGCGGTATGTCAAGACTAGGGCCCTGCACCATCGCCTTTTTGAAAACAAAGTTATCCTTGCCTAATAATTTTACAAAGTCTCTCTCGATACAAAGCGCATACACAAAATAACATGTTTTCTAAAATACAAAAACGGAAACGAATTTTAGCTTATTCCCGTTGTTGAGGGGCACCTGCAAATAGAGGTAGATTGGAACGTGGTATCTATTATTTATCGACTTCTCTTGGAAAAGCAATGAAAATCATCTTTACTGCCCAAAGATAGATTTTTTGCCTGCAATTGTTCATGATAGCAACATCAGAAACCAACAAGCAACTGCTTATTTAACCCTTGCATTCAAATTGCTTGGTGAAACCAAAATACAAATTCCAGTCTGCCTCCAAGATTTCCCCTCCGGGCCCTGGTCAGCGCCTAACAGACGTTAGACACTAAAAACTACGTCTATGAAGTTGCATTTGTTATTCGTTTAAGAATTGTCATTAACCTGAAACTCAGCACTATTGCTTTCTCTTTTCCATGAAGCAGAGCCGTGTATGCCACACAGTAGACTTTTCCAATATTTATGGGACCGTTGCAGTTCGTTTTGTAAAATCTCACGACCTCAACCTGAACAATATTTGCTTGCAAATCATATCTGTTGAGAAAAAGAAAATTCTGTTTTTTTTTCACACTAGCAACTACATTTCTCATCCCCAACGAATCCCTAAGATGCATGACGAATTTACATCTCGTAGCAGCTGAGTAAAAAGTGCGGACTACCAATGTAAAAGCTAGAGCTTGAAGATGCTTTAAATTTTACGATAGTCTCTATATAGATGCTTACAATTATGATATATCAGGTTGTTCCGAAAGTTCTGTCCGACTTACAGTTGCATTGTTTTAACACAGCTATTCTCTTAGAGTTTTGCAATTATTGCAGTATTATTAACATCATCTAAGCAATTTTCCTGCTCTTTCCTTTTCTGAATCTCGATGAAACGACTCTCAGTGATGAAATCTCAAGCCTTGAAGTTGAGTCTACAAGATGCAGTAATGCTCAAGAACTAGTTTCTACAAAGTGGAATTCCGCAATATTCAAAATTATGCATGTAATTCTCCATTGAGTTAGGGTGCAGTGGGCTAGCATATGCACACTTTTACTCCTACATAAAAATGTCTTACTTTTCAAATTCATTTTCAAAATTCGAAGGTAACTCAGTTATTCTAAAGAGACAACAACCTATGTAGCATAAAGGCTGATGTATCCGATATCGCATATGTTAGAGTGAAGCGAGAGCAAGCAGGGACGATTAGTCAATCAGCTTTTTTCGTTCGTGAGAACAAAGAGAGGCCAAATATCTGAAAGCCGGCATACTTGCTCGCGCGAAGGAGGGCTCAAATAATGACCTTTTTTGATTTGCTCATAAAAAACTTTTATGCAACAAAGACAACATGAATTTTCTTCAGCCATAAAAGGATTTCTCAAATGTAGGTCATCAATGATGTCAATCGAATATGCTGCCTATCCTTATAGGCACTAGCATTAGCTTATCAAAATTGACTTTTCGAGGAAACCTCGCAAAACCCTCCAAGTTTTCTCTTCTTTCTCACTTGCCTTTTTCACATAGCAAATTATATTTATGATAGTCATAAATTCGGTTAACCCAACAAAATTTAATTTGATCAAAAATATTGAGTGGCAAAAAAGTTATAACATTTTAAGTCGGAAAATGCGCATATCGGACAGAACTTTGGGAACAACCTAGTTTAGCCATGTGTATGTTAGCAGTCATTCTTGAGTTATTTTCACTTTCACTCATCTGCCAAGTTTCACTTTTAATGGCACTCATGTGAATGATATCCAAATATGTGTATGCAGCTGTGGATATGCTACGCATATTCTCTTGTGTCTCTAAAATAAAATGGGGATAGTGTTTAGGAGCTGGAAACATGTTATTACTATTTACTTCTTTCACTTCTTACTTTCAAGCAAAGACAACGATCTCGAAAAATTAATACACCTATTCTGAAGAGCGCAAATAAATTGCATACGACGCGCTATCCCCTACTTTTCTCATGATAAGAATCATGCCCTACCTTTGCGTTTCTTCCAAAGCGATTTCTGACGCATGCACCCGGATTGTCTGAATAAGCTGCAGCAGCCAAAGGGAGCATGCTGTTTTGAGCGAAGTTATGGGAAAAGGAGTCGGCTTGGGGCTGAGCTCCGACCACCAAAAGCGAAAGCGTAGCAATCAACCCAAACATCCTAAACTTTCAATGAATGAACATTTGCTTGAACAAATTTGGCTAGTTTAAAAAATACATTTTGATATCAAATTAAAAACGCCTTTGTGGATCTGAAATTTTAAGGCAAGTTCTCTTCTCTCTCGTTCCAGCCTGAGTTATTTTATAGACAAAGCACCAACCCTTTCAATATAGTCAATCTATGTTATTTTACTTTTTCGCCTTCATAAATGTAGCAAACGCTTCAAAACATGCATATTTGTTTTTGCTAAAGAGGAGCCATCCCACAATGTTATTGGTCACTGTGTGCGCAAACTTTCTAGCTTTTTCTTGTTCCCTAAATTTCAAAGAGGCATCTTTCAGCAACCTTTAGAGACCATTTGCAAACAGCTACCGCACAACTGCACTCGTTCATCGGGATCTGGGGAAGGTTTCCGGAAACTCACATGCTGTCCCAGATCGCTACAGTCAAATAAAATTCTACAGCCAAATAAAATTATCTTTTTTGGAGATTCAAATCAAGTCATAAAAAATATCTGCTAAAAGTAGCTTATATACCTCCACTTCTCAAACACATGGAGTCTCGAAATTGCACGAAACTACTTATGCTGCTAAGATAAATAATTTCATCTCTATTGCAATTTTGACATATTTCAACACAACCATTTATCGCACTTTAATAACGGTTCATATTTTACCTGACCTTTGATTCTTCTGACAACAAGCCTTTACGATTATGTAGACGTGTCAAAACGAAGTGCCGCTTTGGTTTTGAAAAAAAAAACTTTTGCACGACTTATTTGAAGTAAGTTTCTTTTGCTGATTGCTAAGAAAAATTTGCGAGCCTTCTTTGGTAGAAAACATCTTCCCATATGATGTGCGGATTACCCACTCCTTCGACATCAAAAACCATCAGACGCTTTGCGGATAAGAGCAAAAGCTTTTTTTATGAAGACCTAAGAAATATTTGTAGCGATCTAAGCGAGCGCGAACAATCTTTCTCGTATGATGAAATTATCAGAAGTTTTCGAGAATTTTTTTCAAAGTACTGCTAACTTTTGTTTCGTGGAAAAGCAGAAAAAATGTGAAATTTTTATAGTTGAGAAGATTTCCTCATTACGTAGAGTAGACAGGATTTTTACTAAGTTTTATGTTGATTATACTTAACACTTGACACCCATTATGATTAGAATGATGGCTAAAAATTTTTTTTTTGCTTTACATAATTTCACAAAAAATTGTCGCCAGAATCCAATGGGGTGCGAAAAAAGCAAATTTTTGGTAATGAAAAAAAACAAAATTTTCTAGAAACTTCCTACAATCTCATATTCAGGCGAGCACTTTCGTCGCAAAAGAAGAGTTACGAATTCTGCACTATTGAAAAAGATTTTCAATCGTCCAAAATTTCTCATAAGGACCACTGGTTGCAGTTTACAAACTGCAGTGAGAATGAAGTAATCCAAAAGGATCTTCTATATCTTCAATCTTTTCATGCTCAGAAATCAAAAAAGTTTTAGTAACTTAAGATCCTTTCATGAGTAGGATAAGACCAGTCAACTGAAACTGTAAAACTTTTTCTAGAATTGCTATTGCAGAAGCTGGCCTTTTGTTGGAACCTGGGAAATGCAAGGAAAGAAAATTTTTTGGGTGAATGTCGGATCTAGCTGCAGCTGGTTTATATACTGTGTTTGTAAGCCCTGAGTTTGGTCTTTTCGGCAATATTGTGACTTGTTCAAAAAGTGTGGATTATGACGCCCGTGTGCTTCAGTTTCAGAAAACTTTAGGTTAAGCTACTTAAAAATGACTTTGAAATCTTCTCATTTTATTTCTCCAAATGTCAAATTAATAATTTAATGAGTTTGAGATAGAAATCCGATTGGTTTCTTGCATCATGTGATATAATCTTGGTTAGTTTGAACCGTGTCTTAATCTTGGTTTGTTCGAAATCACTTAAATTTCAGAACTTCTGCTACAATATTCTGGTAAATCATATATAGTATACCTATAGTGTTTTGGAATGTTTCTATCACAAGGAGACCAACCTTTCGAAAAAAAAAAAGATTGGATAAGTAAACTACGTTTTTGAGTGTCTAACGATTGTCAAATCCTTAGCCTTTAAAAAGTAAAGTACAGCAAAAGATGAACAAGTTTTAGTTTGCAACATCTTTAATCTATTACGTCTCACTAGAAACGAAGATTCGAGATCCTTGTTTCTATGGCACGAAAGTGAAAGGTTGAAATCGGTACCTATAGTTGCACCATCTGAAGAACATTGAAAACCATACATTCGCCATTTGACTTTTCCAGTCAGAGAGTTTGTTAAGGATCCATGCAGAATCTCGCAAACATCACGGCCGAGGGAACGAATGGCAGCGCGCTTTCTCCAGAGGTCATCAACTCAACAGCGAATTCGGAGCTATGCAAGTCTGTAAAGAATAAAGACACGGCTTTTTAACTTAATAGATTTCTTAAGCTGTCACTTGCTAATCTGAAGTCATTTGGTGAAAAATTGACTTGAATATTCACGAGATTACTTTAAAGGCAGCGGCTCGGCAGAATGACAACTTTGGAGTATTTGTCGTTCTCGGCTCCCCTGGATGAGCTAAGTCCAAGGCTGTGCTTTGCAGCTTTGCAAGACTATCAATAACCCGTTTTTCCACACCTGAAAAGTGCTCTTTGGGCGGACCACGAAGTAGCTGGTCGAGCCAATAATCCAATTGCCGCCGAGATGTGTACGGTGTCTCCACAGACGAGCCAATCGCGCTTTAGAAAACATGTATACGCCGTCCGCCCAATAGCAATTTTCACGTCTGGAAAAGCAAGTTATGGATATCTTCTGAAGCTGCAAAGCATAGTTTGTGCTTTGCAGCTTCAAAGACTTAGCTCATCCAGACGAACCGGGAACGGAATAAACCAAAGTATGTCATTCCGCCGAGTCGCTGCCTTTGAAAGCAGTGTCCCGGAAAAAATTTGATTTCCTGTTTTTCACCTTTTCGGAGCCTTCTCGTATGCCTTACCCATATCTGGACTTTGCGCGCTTGAAAATGGCCAAAATGGGTTTTTTTCGAGTCGCGTCATGGGCGGTCCGGACGAAAGGGCGGGACTCGGAAAGCTTTTGAAGTGGATTTCAGGCTTCCTAGACGCGCTTTTTTTGCACCACAACTTACTGACAGATGGTGGGGATCTGCCGTTGCAATGCTGTAAAATCCAAGTACCCATCATTTGCAGGAACGCTGCCCTTTGAGTTGCACCTACATGGTCCCAAAATTTTTTTTGGATCTATTTTAAGTTAGTTAGGTTAAATAGCTTATGCAACCCTTTTCTAAACTTTTTAAGGAATTTGAAAGGCTTTCAAAACGTTTTAAACTCTGATATCGCTATCTAATGTCCATGTGGCAATAAAGATCGGCCTCTTGACAAACACCCAAAATGGCAAGTAAACTTTGGGAAATGCATGTTCAGTGCCTGCCGTAACTCTACATCCTCACGGTGAGACGCTACTGTGAGAATACGGCGCTCGTGATCAGCATCAGGCAACCCCCGCAGGAAAATTTCCAGCAATCTGGATTTCTCCAATATTTTTCTCCTTCCAGGTGTATTCGCTTCCAATGGATAATCTCTATCGGAAATCTCCGTAAGCGTTAGCATCTCCATTTTCAACACTTTCCAGACTACTGTTTATAAAACATTCACCCCCTTCCTGTCCGCGGCTAAGCCCTCAGTTTGAAAATATTTCGAGAAAGTTTTATGATGCTCAAAGAAAGGAAGGGTAGTACAGATTAGGAGCATGTCCACTTTGGACTAGATTACATCTACGAATTTCGAGAGAATCGTTCTTGTGTTTTCCCTGATTCCACACTTCAAGCAGTTTTGGTAAAAAATAGAGAACCTTGGTTTGACCGAAAACTTTGCTAGTATAGGTCTTGTGGACAACTTTTTACGAAATCAAAGTCCGTCACTGTACCATCTTACACAGAATCACTGTGTAGAGGATAGAGCTGAATTGCGCAAGCACAAAATTCGACGCTTTTTATCGCTGGACTTAAGTGTTCATTGCCCGCTAGTAACAAAATTCTGATTTATAGTCGGATTGTATTAACCAAAAGGTGAAAGACACCAATTAAAGGCAACAAATAGCCTCTCATGTTTTTGTCTTCTTGTCTAAGATTAAGATTGCGATGCTTCAGATTATATGCACTATCTTTCTTGCAATTTGACGTATATTAATGCCAACTAATCATTGGGTACTTATCCAATGATTAATTGGCATTGAATCCACCCCACTGAATTTTTTTGTCCGCATCATCTAGTTATTTCAGATTATTCTCCAGCAACAATCCTTTGACTTTCATACATGTAGAAAAAACCCTTGGATTTTCATCTCTAAGAAGTAATCAAACGAACATTCCGATAGTAATAAAATATAGGTCAAAATAGCCACATGAAAAGTTACATTGAGCACTGACATTAGACTCAGTACGAAAAATACTCACATAAGGCTGGGTTCATACTGATTTCGAAGTTCTCGGCACTGTGCTGGAACGGTGCCGGAATTGTGCTGCATGCGCTGCAGCCGCTAGCATGCGGCTTTGAGCGATGCGAAATGGCAATTTTTACTTTCTTCAACGGTTTTGATTGTAAACTTTGCCCATTCTCGCGTCTTGCCTCTTCTTGAGACCTGGAGAATTACGAACTCAAAGATTCGAAAATGAAACTTTTCATGTCTTGCGTAAACTATCTGTTTGTCTTTGCGCGCCCCTTCTCCTTCGTAATTTTTAACCGTTCTTTTTGTAATTGAATGGTGCGACTTTCAATAATCTCGGCATAATAGTAATATTTTGTTCTTTCTTCTTAAGCCATACACGAGATTGGTAATCGATTTATTTGATCCACGGCTAACGTTTCGGCAGATCGCCTGTAAGGGACAATACGATTTGCACTCAATCCGAACCGGCACCTCCACAGCTGAACAGATGAAATGCTAGACCTCGTTTTCGATCAGTAGTTCAGCTGCACGGTCA